ATTAAGTGAATATGCAAGATCGCCCCACCTTCATGAGGTGAGCAGATTTGCATGTCCTCCAGATCATGTGTGTTTTGACAGCAGCAGCTTTGCTACAAACAGGGATACCCATGCTGAATGAGTCAAAGGATAAGAGCAAGACCATGGCAGGATCACTACTCCTCCAGGTTGAGGCTTGTGTGTACAACTAACACCTTCATCATGTAAAAATTTTCTCTGGTTAGAAGGCGGCAGAAAGAAAGAAAGGTAGGATCTGAATGTGGTGGGCTCCTGAGCTTAAGAGTTGTCTCCCACCAACCAGGAAATGGAAGGACTGGAATATAGGCTAACGAAATATTCTTCTAAAATGCATTTCTGATTTTTTATACACTGTAATTACGCTTTTTATTCTAACTACATTTTTGAAGTAATTATTACATGAATATAAATTTTTTTAACTTAATTTTAAATTAGATGCATTTTGAGGTTCCATGTATAAAATAATTATAAAATAGTGTTCAAGCTGCTAATGCATGTGCATTTACAGTAGCTAGTTTAATAAAATACAATAATATTAAATTAAACATTCTTTTAGTATCATTTCCAAATAATTTAAAATACATTTAGAAAAAATGTTATTTTTCATGAATAAAATTCTTCTACTGAAGTAAAATAGTCATTAAAATAATATAAAATATTATTATTTATCTGTTGAGTTTAGGAACTTTATCCTTAAAAGTACAAATAAATAACAAAAAACACCTGAAAGTGAAAATTAAGTTTTGTATTGAAATTACAGCAATAATACATCAAAGGGAATAAATATTACTTTAATTATAGTTACTACCATGCAAGAAGAATTGTTTTCACAATTAAAAAACTCGTGAGTTTATTCATGATCAAGATGATGATATTCAAAGTGGCCACTGTTTTGAAAAATCAGAAATCTCCTTAACATTCTGTTGTTATACAGTGTAAGATCTATTTTGGAAGTATCTAATTTGGTAGCCTTAAAGCATACACATCAGTGGAAGACTAATGGGTCTGTAGACACCTGTCTTTATGCTAGACAATATTGGCTTTGTGATAAGATATTGCAGGGTCCTCACAAAAGTATGGTATCCAGATATGCTTCCAAACCTTTTTGTGTTGTTGAAACTTTGTGTCACAATCCCCACATCATAATGTAAATGTAAAAAATAAACCAACATGTTGAGAAGAATGAACAACTATATGAGAGCAACAATGACTGAATGTTATCTTACAGGAACTACCCCTAATTCATTGTGATTAAGATTTTCATGTTGACATTGACAAAATTATAAATAGTAGCAGACCCCTCCATGCATTGTTGTGGCTCAAAATGTATCTATTATAAATGTATAACACTTCTCCCGTGGGGGAATATCGAAAAATCCCCTTTTAGTGTATATTCTGTTGATGTACCCTATTAAAACGCAATCAAAAACACAAAAAACAGTATCTAAAATAGTATAATAGAAGCCAAGTTCTTCACGGTAAGTCTTAATCCTGTCCATCTTAGTTTTGACACGTATATTATATAAAAACATGTGCGTATTCGAATACAACATTGTGTCAAAATTTCAAAGGAATCTGTAGGAACAAACGAACATTACATTTTTATTTATATAGATAAATAGATAGATAGAAGATGATCTGCTTTAGTTCATCCTCACAGAAAAGCAAACTTAGGTCATTGTACTCGCAGAGTTAGCACCATCTATTGGACATAAAAGCCTTAATCCTAAATGATATCTTTTAACTTATATGAATGTTTAATGGAATAATATACAGCCTATGTACCCTGAATATACCCTAATATACCCTGAAGTTCCATTCTAAATATTGGTGAAAGAATTTTTGAAATCAAATGAGTAATTTTGGAGATTACCTCCTACATCCAAACTTACAAACTTTACCTCTTTATAATATTAGTATAGATAACAGCAATATTGCATCAAATAAGAATGCAATTAAATGTGCTACAGGCAACTGAAGGTTTTCTTGAAGACATGAAATGCTATTTTTTAATATAAAAATGTGTTATTTATTCAACTAGTTCCCCTGCAAATTTTCTGACAAGATGCCTGTTAAAGGATATCATTACACAAGTATAAAACATTCTTTCAGACTTTTCATGCTCTGCTGTTGAGAACACTGTACTAAATGTATTTCTGATCTCTAGAAACAATGGCTGCAAAACACAGTATCAACTTAATCATAACTAAACTGAAGTTCTTTAAATTGTGAAAATAATTCTTACATGTCATATAACTGAAATTTAAGTACTATTTCCATTGATATGTCATTATTAATTGTCATGGATGCATCGTTATTATAAATGGAACACAAAAAAATTCATCTTTACTTTCATATTTATCATTGTTATTTATTTGTCTGTACCATGTAATGTATTTCAGCTTACACAGTACAAATTTTCCCCTATCAATAAATTTTGGAATTAAAATACTTTTTGTGAAATCCTTTCAACATGCCTTCAATAATATATTAACCAAATTTAATATCATCATAACTGATTGAGGGAGCTCCAAAATATTCTAAAAAAAAAACATTTAATTATGTTCATGCTAATACATATGCTTTATGACTAATTTCCCCCCCCAAAAATATATTTTGGATACATAGTCTAAGTGTATATTTTATTAGCTTACACTCTTAAATATCCTAACGCCTTGGCTATAGACAACAACCTATACAAGGTAAAAAACTTAATCAAAAATTCATTGTTTCACCAAAAGTGCTTCAAAACTGATACTGTTCCTTTTCTATTGTTTTTTATTCTAAAATCATAACCTAAAACCTCAACTATAAGATGTAATCTATATATAAGAGCATCTTATCCATGAAAAAGTCAATGTTCTTGTATTAGTTTTGCTTCTGCAGCTTATACATAAGGACAGTCTACAGCCAATGTTTTAGGATATACAGGATGATAAAGAAAGTCACTTAACATCCCTGCTACAGAATATAGAATGTACCCAAAGTTAATTCACTCATGTCAAAAACACATTACACCAAGAGTGAAACAGATTGATGTGTTACACCAGGCTGTGGAGTCAATGAAAAGGAATTCCTGGTCAAAAAAGTCGAAGTCAGGAAAAATGTGTCGACTCCAGTACTTTAAATTTAATTTAGGTTTTTTATTTAAATGAAAGAAAATTTATTTTATATTAATTTTTTTAAATGTATTTTTAAAAATTAAAAAAAATTTTTTAAATGTAAAATTTTTTGTATTTTGTTATAATTCATTTATTTTAATACAAAATGCAGCAATTTAATTTATTAAATATGTAGTTTTCTTTGTAGTATTTGTATTTAGTAGTTAAATTGTTTTGACTTAATTGAATTTGAATATTTTTGAATCATTCCTTTATTACCCCTGATCTAAATAAGTATTCCATTTTTCTGAATGAGCCAGACTAATTGATCAGAGTATATATTTTTGTTTTCTGAACAAGTGGCTGAAGTAGCTAGATCACACATCTTTTAGTTGGACTAACTTTTCTAGAAGGGTGTGAAATTGAAGTGCAAATGCTGTAGAATAAAGATATATAGATGTCAAATTTTATCACCCCTTTCTCCTCTTATTAAAAATTAATTTTTTTATAAAAATAAATATTAATATAAGTTAGATATTAAAAATACTAACTATAAAATTATTTGGGTAAATAGGGCATTTACACAAATATAAGGCTCCTTTCAGAGTTCAGAGTAGGTACCCCCTATGAGTGCCTCTGCCCCCTATAAAATGACTTAGTATTTAATTTTACCGGAGTTGGGAGTTGAAGTCGGTCTACTAAAATTATCAGGAGTTGGAGTCAGAGTCAAATGTTTTTTACCAACTCTGCAGCCCTGTGTTATATGCATGGCCGCTATCTTGAATGCAACTCTGAAACTGTAAATGGAAAGGGGATCATGTGACACATCATTTAGGGTCAGAACTTCACAAAGAGTTGATTGCTGAAAAATTTATTGACCTACCTCAAGTAATTACAGAGTTATTAATGAGTTTCTTTTGTTGTTACAGGTTGAAGAACAGATAACAATGCCCCTAACACAGGAAGAACGTATCAAAATCATCCTGATGACAGTAGAGAGATATTCCAGGTTGATTGCCCAGGATTTTAATCAAGGTCATCCACACTGAGAGCCTGTGTCATGCCAACCTACTCCAGAAATTCAGGGAGATGGGATTAGTCCATGATAAGAAACAGGCCAGTGCAATCACCCTGGAATTTCCCTCCCCTGTCCTCAGGACAATTTCAATGCATTCTTCCTGTGTTAGGGGCATTGTGTTGTCTGTTCTTCAACCTGTAACAACAAAGGAAACACAATAATAACTCTGTAACCATTTGAGGTAGGTCAATAAATCTTTCAGCAATCAATTTCTTGTGAAGTTCTGACCATAAATGATGTGTCACATGACCCCTTTCCATGTACAGTTTCAAAGTTGCATTCAATATGGTGGCCGTGCATATAACATACATCAATTAACAAAATTTCAAAGGAATCTGTAGGAACAAACGAACATTACATTTTTATTNATAAAAAATAATTTTATTTAATTTAGAATATTTTGGAAGAAAAACTAGTCTGAAGTGAGACTTGTTTCTAAATTATTTATTTCTGATTAAATTTAACAGATGATGGTGGCTTAACTGTCTACCTGTTGCCAATTGCATAATATCTAGTTAATTAAGTATCCTTATTATAGTATAATGATAATTCAGTTGTATATTTGTTTAATTTATATATATATATATATATATGTGTGTGTGTGTGTAATATGTGTGTGTAATATAAGTGTGTGTGTGTGTGTGTGTGTGTGTATTCTGTATTAAGAATACAATGTATAAAAATGGTAATTTTCAAAATGTAATATAAACTGTAAAATGCATTTTATTTTCATATCTAGTCAAAACTTTAAAAATTATTACTGTTTTAAATACTATATCATTAAACACATTATTCATACTTACTCGTTCATCTGCAAAATCTTCATCACTAAAATCTGTTGAACCATCATCTTGAGATAAACCCCAATCTATGCTGACATTTTCAAATAAAGTTTTCTTATTTTGTAATGCATGTTCTAGCTAATAAATTAAAAACAAAATTTCTCTTAATATTTCATGTAAGTTAATTTTATTACAGTGAATTAATATTAATTTATAAAACTTTAAAAGTTGACTTTGTATTATATAGCATTATTTACCAATTCCATACAAATATGAAATCCTTTTTCTTTTGAAACATCCATTGGAGTTTTTCCTTCAGAATTCTCTATTTGTGGATTTGCTCCACTTCGCAATAGTAACTTCATACATTCTGACTGATTATATGTAGCACATACATGGAGAGCAGTACTCCCATCTTTTGTTTGTTTATCCAAACTTGGGCTAAAAAAAAGTCACTCAATACATTTACTTATTTAATCTGTATACATAGATAACATATTAAAAATTATTAATTTTTTTTCATATAGATATAACATAAAACTAAATTATTAGAGTGTATTAAAACATTAATCAACATTGATAAAAACATATTGCTTAATAAATTGATCTTAGATATCAATACAATACAGTAGAATCCCAATAGCTTGAGGTTCCTCATTATCTGAGGCATACCTGTAAGTGAATACAAATATAGAATTGTGATGACCAGACTAATATAATTTAACAGACAGATATTTAATAATAAAATAAAATAATAAAAAAAAAAAGCATCACTGTACAATATAAAAATTTAAAGTTTACAAGGAAACTGTGTTATAGAAAATAAATGCATTTATATTTAAATTTCAACACATTTGGTATTGTCAATATGGTAAAATAAGAATAGCCCATGTCTAAGGAAACTGCATTAAAAACTTCTCCATCCTGATCAAACTATTCTTTAAAAAAGTAAAATTAAAAATCAACAATCTTTGGCCAAATTATGTGTATAAGGTAAAAGGAAATAAATAAGAGAGACTTTTATATTGCTATATTGCTAATTTCTCAAAATGCTGAAAAATTTTTAATAAATTTAACCAAAAACACATATTTCACATATTTTCGTATGTATGATTGCATAATTTGCACAATTCTGGTAGTCTTAGTTATAATTAGTAAGTTTAATTCTATTCTTGTGAATTTTATCATTTTATACTTTATCAGGTTGCACTAGGAGTCATGAAAGGCCTCACAAGGCCTGAATATTGCAGATTCCCCACTCTAATATGAAGGTTATTTTTTTCAACCTCCACCAACCCATAATAAAAAAACAAGAATGAAGAACAAAACCACTTTATTTGTAGAAGGTAATTATAGTCTTCATTTATTTTTCCACATAATTGCCTTCTCAATTCAGGCAGACATCATACCATGACACCAGCTTTTGTATACCCATGTCAAAGAATGTTGCCACCAGGCCATTCGGCCAACCTTTAGCACTATTAGTCAGTGGTATACAGTGTGGATCTTGAAATTTGAGGAAACTCCTCAATGAGCTCAGAAATCGTGAACTAATGCCTTTCTCACACCAATCGAGCACTTTGTCCATCAAATCATCAGTCATCACACACTTCCTCCCTTGACTGCCCTCATCATGAATGTTGTCACGTCCTTGTTTGAATTTCCTGCACCATTCATGCATGCATCCGTAGCTCATGAGGTTCTCACCATACACATTACAAATACTTTGATAAATTTCACCTCCATTCAGCCCTTCAGCTTGTAGAAATTGAATTACTGCTCTTACTTCACAGTTGGCAGGAGACTGGATTGGCAGCATCATGTTTACTGCAGAGTAGCAAATGTCTGAAATAGCTTGGCACAATGCTAAGTAGTGAGGAAATATACTACTCACTAGGTGTGCACCCTGTCCCTGTCTCACATGATTCCAAATTTTTTTCAATGCATTAGTTGAGGTTGAAATAAAAAACCCTTGTATATAGTCATCAGGAATTTCTTTAGAAACTATCAAAATTCTTTATAAGACAAACATATTCATTATATTTATGATTTTTTTCCGTCAAATTATCAAAGACACATATCTGTATGCCATGGTCTTTAGTCATCTCTTGTTCGTTTTCTCTGTCAAGCAATACTTTAAATGTTGTTATATATACTCTTACTTGTTTTCTATTAGGCAGATTAAATTTATTCCAGTAGGACCCTTACTGAACAGCTGAATTTCTAACTTATAACCTGATAAGATCCCAATTTTTCCCTTTTCTACATAACGACATCCTAGAGAACTGTTTAGAAGCTGACTATTTAACTTAATTCTCTACAAATGAACAGGAGTTAAGTCTGTTCACTATTTAAACCTGTAAGTGATCTACATGAAATTATGATAAAGTTAACACAATATTTTTCTTATTCTAAAATTTAATAATTTGTTTGATAATTAATAAAGTTATTTGATACCTATTTTGAACAAGAAAGTCAACTATATGTAGAGATGTTCCATCTTCTTGAGCAATTGCTGCATGCAGACTTGTCTCTCCATTCATCTAAATGTGATTAATAAAAATAAAAAGCTTAAAATATCATCTGTTTTATAAAATATATTTTTGTTAAACATGTTTGTATTATAACTTGTCTTCATGATTTAACTTTCAATTACCTTAAAAAAATAAGTGAATTATACAATAAAATAAACTTAATATTAGTTTTTACTAAATTTAATTGGAAGACTAAAGAATACTGATAAGAAGTGTCAGCAGGAGTGCCTGTACATTGAAACATGTGCCCCCTTTTCTTCTCAGTCCAAACAACTTTTTTGCATGTTTGCCAAAACCCTCATTCTTTGTTTTTGGGGCAGTGTCAGCACCAAGTGTAACTGGCACTACTTGTTGGAGCATCAACCCAACACTGAATCATAGGTTTGAAGCTCCTTGTGTAATGTACGATGCTCTTTTTTATAGCTTGTGGACCCCCGTTTTTATAGCCTGTGGGCACCACTGAGTGTCAGCAAATTTTAATATGATTAGGATTAAGAAATCTTATCTATCTTTTCCAAATATTCTTTTCTTCAATCTAAATTTATGTGATATGAATTCAACAAAAATTCACTTTGAAGTTCAAAGTTCAAACTGTGCATGCTGAGAAAAAATGTGCTTGAAGCATAAATACAATCTGTTATGCTCCCAACTGTCTCTCTCTCTCATGTTATGACTATATTTTCAGTGGTTTTTTCCCCCCTCTTTTTATTTTTGGTTTTATATATATTATGTATTATTCATCAATTTTTAACAATTTCTTCCTGCACTTTTACTTCATTGACAATTTTTGAGCATCATGCAGTATATTTTGAATCTTTTAGTTCAAAATTTCCTAAACAGAACTTTTTATACCCTATTTGAAATGTTCAAAGTTTAAAATCATCTTCCTCAAAGATTACAAATTTTTTTACAGTTTATACAACTGGCATCATCCTTTCTAAAACTCAAAGCATAATATGTCTGATATATTTTTTATATGAAAACATTACAACTTAACATGTTTTTATTCAAACAAACTGTGAAGTAAAAAATTTTAAATAAGCTTATAGCAAAGAATATATCAAATCACATTAACAATAATGTGTTAAATTTTACAATTGTTATAATTAAATTATATATTTATCTACACATGCAGTACATTAAAAGCAAAATGTTCCATCAACACCAAAACTAAACCAATGCTTTACAAAGAAACAGTGTGTGAATAGGTTACATCAGGCCACAGATGGGGGTCTACAATTCATTCCTTGAAAGGACCACCTGTTAACTTCCTCTGTGGATTCAGCATGAATTTATGAAAAGAGTTAACAAAGAGAAAAAAGGAAAAATTTGTGTAGAGATATGAGATACAAAATGTCTTTACTTTTGACTTGGACTTGGAGCTATGGCAATTCATTTGCTCCTGTAGCAATCATTTTGTAAGTTTGAGTTTTGAATAAAAACCTTTGGTTATATACAGAATACAGATATATACATTCAGTAATTTTTATCTGTATCATTATTAGAAACAAAATATTTCATCACCACCACACAATGTAAATTTAAAAATTAATTTGATTTATATTTTGAAAATTTCAAAACAAATTTTAAATGGGTTTTAAAAACAATCTATGCTGGACCAGAGTCAAGGCATAGCAAACCAAAACAAAACTAAAATTAAATGTAGAGGACGTGGTTGCTGTATCATCAAATGCAGTGTGTAGCGTCTGTGTAATCCAAAACGAGTTGGTAGACGAACGGACAGCAATTGGTTAGAAAACGTACGTTTTATTTAAAAAATTCCTAATTCATATGCATTTCGGGTTGGCTTAAAATCCCAACCCCTCTTCAGTGCTGTTAAGATTACACAAAAAAATATAATTTAAGGTTAGTTTTACGGTATTGGTTAGTAGGAACATAACTAAAAACGCGAGGTGATGATAACATAAAATTGCTTACTTGACATATAATGGTACAGCATAGATGTATTTTACAAAATTTTTTGATTACATAGTAGTATGGCATAGCCTATGATATGAAAAAAGTGGTATAAGGGGGAGGCTGTTTAACATATCATTTTTATGACGAACTGTATAACATAGAATATTAATTTAAAAAATATCAATGCACACTTACATTTTAGTTAGAATGTATTATTTCCGAATACAAAAAGGAACATAGTACAAAACATTTTTAACAACTGGTCTTATCCGTTGTTCGCTTAGTAACAGAATACCGACAAGTAATGTTATATAAACAGTTACCCACATTCCGTACACGGGGGTTGTGATTTAAACAATCTTTAACGCGTGGAGGCGTTCTCTATGAGTTTGTACCATTGGGGGTCTATGGACATGCCTTCTGAAACATTAATTAAGTTTTCTTTAGGGTGTTTTTTGATTTCTATGTGTTCTTTAAATTTTCTTTTATATGTGTCTTTTTCTACATGTAACACTTTTGTATTGTTTTTATTAATTTGGCAATTATAGTCTATTGTGTGGTAGTACCAGGGGGAAGTGTTATGTTTTAGGCGGATGGCTGCCATATGTTCTTTAATTCTGGTTTCTAGTGACCGGCCTGTTTCACCAATATAAGTTTTTGGATTTTGACAGTTGCATTCAAGTTTGTAAACAGTTCCTATAGTTTTAAGGGCGTTTAGTTTGTTGTTATGTTGTTTATTAATGTCATAATGGATACTATGAGATATTTTGTTGGTCAAAGATGGAGCCAAACTGATATTGTCTTTTTTTAATGACTTATTACAGCCTTCAAAAATGTTTTTTATATATGGGAAGGTTTTGTATTTTTTGTCGGATTTATATTTTGTGTTAAATCTATTTTCCCAGTATTGCTTTTGCCATGTGTTTAATTTCGATTTAGGATAGTCGTTAAGTAAAAATTTAGTTTCAAGCTCTTTTATTTTTATTTTTTGCCATTTGTTATCAGATATTCTGGTATATATGTTTTTTAACTCCATGGTATAAATATTCCTTTTTATATATTCTGGGACATGTGAGTAGTAGTTGATAGTTTTATTAACGTTACATGGTTTTTTGTATGTGATGAAAGAGAAATTATTAAGTGTATTCATGATTGTTATGTCGAGGAAATTAATTTTTTTATTGTTTTCTATTTCAATATCGAATTGAATATTTTCGTTAAATTTGTTAGCAGTGTTCAGAATAGTATTATCGTTTGTTATTCTATTATTGTATATTATTAAGTAGTCGTCTGCGTATCTCATTACAAGTTTTATGCCTGGGATATTATTTATTTTTTCATCTATGTTTATCATAGCTAATTCGGCTAATTTGGGTCCCATCTTTGATCCCATACTGATGCCATCTACCTGTCTATAGAAGTTAGTATTGGCTTGAAAATAGTTTCTGGTGTATGCGAAGTGTATTAGATTAATTAAAGTTTTATCTACATTTAACATGGTTAGGCTTTCCTCTATTAATTTCCATTTTATATTTGGGTACATATTTTTGACATCTAGGCTGATTAGTGTGTCAGTGTTACTTTTCTGTATTTTCAGTAACCTATTTATAACATCATCCGCGTTTTTTACGGTGTATTTAGACAGATCGATGCTTGTTAATTGTTGCTTGATATATTGTTCTAAGTTGTAAAGTATGGAAAATTTGAAGTCTACTAAAGGTCTGAATTTTTCTTCATTTTTGTGGGTTTTTAATCTTATGTTTAGTTTGGGTGTTCTGTTGTTTTTGAAATTAAGGATATAATTTTTATTGTTTTCACTTAAATTATTATTTGCGTATATGTTTTTGACCAAATTAATTAGTTCCTTTTTAATATCTTCGTATGGGTTATTGTTTAATTTAATATAATTTATGTTATTAATCTGCTCTATAGTCTTCTGTTGTAAATTATTATTGTCAATGATTATCAGTTGGTCAGTTTTGTCTGCTTTAATTATTGAGAGATTATTCGTTTTAAGGAAATTTATTGTATTATGTAAAAAAATTTTATATTTGTTGATTCTGTGTTTATTGTTTTGTTTTAGATGCATTAGATTTTGAATGATCGTTGTAAGTAAATTTCCTTTTTCTTCTTTTTTAATAGTTAAGTCTTTTACGCTTTTGTCAATATCGGCTATTATGTTTGTTGTTATATTATCGATGGGCAAGTTATATACCAGAAACATATACCAGAATATCTGATAACAAATGGCAAAAAATAAAAATAAAAGAGCTTGAAACTAAATTTTTACTTAACGACTATCCTAATTCGAAATTAAACACATGGCAAAAGCAATACTGGGAAAATAGATTTAACACAAAATATAAATCCGACAAAAAATACAAAACCTTCCCATATATAAAAAACATTTTTGAAGGCTGTAATAAGTCATTAAAAAAAGACAATATCAGTTTGGCTCCATCTTTGACCAACAAAATATCTCATAGTATCCATTATGACATTAATAAACAACATAACAACAAACTAAATGCCCTTAAAACTATAGGAACTGTTTACAAACTTGAATGCAACTGTCAAAATCCAAAAACTTATATTGGTGAAACAGGCCGGTCACTAGAAACCAGAATTAAAGAACATATGGCAGCCATCCGCCTAAAACATAACACTTTCCCCTGGTACTACCACACAATAGACTATAATTGCCAAATTAATAAAAACAATACAAAAGTGTTACATGTAGAAAAAGACACATATAAAAGAAAATTTAAAGAACACATAGAAATCAAAAAACACCCTAAAGAAAACTTAATTAATGTTTCAGAAGGCATGTCCATAGACCCCCAATGGTACAAACTCATAGAGAACGCCTCCACGCGTTAAAGATTGTTTAAATCACAACCCTTGTGTACGGAATGTGGGTAACTGTTTATATAATATTACTTGTCGGTATTCTGTTACTAAGCGAACAACGGATAAGACCAGTTGTTAAAAATGTTTTTGTACTATGTTCCTTTTTGTATTCGGAAATAATACATTCTAACTAAAATGTAAGTGTGCATTGATATTTTTTAAATTAATATTCTATGTTATACAGTTCGTCATAAAAATGATATGTTAAACAGCCTCCTCCTTACCACTTTTTTCATATCATAGGCTATCCCATACTACTATGTAATCAAAAAATTTTGTAAAATACATCTATGCTGTACCATTATATGTCAAGTAAGCAATTTTATGTTATCATCACCTCGCGTTTTTAGTTATGTTCCTACTAATCAATACCGTAAAACTAACCTTAAATTATATTTTTTTGTGTAATCTTAACAGCACTGAAGAGGGGTTGGGAATTTAAGCCAACCCGAAATGCATATGAATTAGGAATTTTTTAAATAAAACGTACGTTTTCTAACCAATTGCTGTCCGTTCGTCTACCAACTCGTTTTGGATTACATAGACGCTACACACTGCATTTAATAAAATGTTACTTACGAATTAAAATCAGAAGAAATTTAACAAAGTTATAGACCGTGGCACCACGAACGTCTAGTCTAGTGTAGTACACCGATAGTGCTACTTGTTCATTGATGGCGTGTATAATTGAATTAAGTCATATACCAAACAAAAGTCGTATACCGAGCAAAATTTGTTTCGTCCAAACAGGACGTATTCCGAATTGGACGTATTCTAAAGCAGACGTATACCGAGGTTCCACTGTATTTATTAATATTTTGTGCAACGCAAGTCACATGTGGCCAGGGGGCACAGGTTGCCCACCTGATTTAAATTAGGGATTAATGATATCTATAAAAAGTTTTATTAAGTTTTCAATTTTTCATATAAATACTTTATATATGGCATAATATATTTAGATATAGGAAAGCTAAGCCAATTAAAATTGTTTTGATTATTAAAGTATTTCATATCATTTTAATAACATCCTCCTTGGATAATCATTAAATTTCATCTTTTGAAATATAATTTCAGTTATATTATTTGTTGTTAATATATCTGTTGTAAGGGTTAAAGTTTTAAGAATATCCATAAAAGCTCCATAAAAATTACTGAAAAACAAAAACTAGTTAAAAAAAAAATATATATATAAACCATATATATATATATGGTACAGTTTATATATATATATATATATATACCGTGTATGTATATATATATATAAAGAAAGAAATCCAAACTGAAAAAATGTAAATATTAATCACATTGGTAACTTTTGCTTTATTCCAGTATTACTTTAAAAATGGCTATAGAACACGCATTCTAATTAGAATATGTGTAACTGATCTGAAGTGGGCAGTCAAGCTGTTCGACAATGTTTGTTGTTTTTAAACTAATACTGGAATAGAGCAAAGGTTATAGATATGATTAAAAAATAATGACCAACTTAATAAAATAAATATTAATTATGTCAAATAAACTGTGGGAAAATATTCTTAAAAATTAATATGCAATATAATTTAAATTATCTTTCTCCTTAGAGTCACATACTGTGATAAAACAACTCATAAAAGGTTATTGGGTGAAAAAATGATTGTGGCTTGAACACCAAAATGTTATCAAATGATATTGAATGTATGTAAATTTTAAAATTATGTTGTAAACTGGTTTAAATTTAATATTGTCTTCAATATACAGTAAGTTGGTTTTAAGATTATTTTTCAAAGACTACTGTATTATTTGTTTTGTTTGTATTGTTGTCTAAGACCAAAACATGTGATGATTTAATACAAACAAATTAAAGCGCCTTTTAATTGCATTGTCTTTTGGAATGAATGGAATTAATGTAAACACATGTATGGTGATTTTCTTCTCATTGAAAACTACTAAAATTTTTGAAGTCTAGTTTAATACTATAATTTTTGAAATCAGATAGAGCCAGTTGTTTGCTGTGCCAATATGTCTAACCATCAGTATTAATCTTATGATGAAAAATATATCATACCAAAAAACATTTAAACCGTAATAAATAGGTGACTTCTTAAACTCTAATTCCATTTAACAAAATATACCAATTATTAAAATCTTCAAGATATATAGCTTATTATATTAGTAGTGTTGTGTCATATATAAATTCAATAAATTTCTAGAGACTATATACTTTTCAAAAATGAAAACTCTAAACCAGATCATAAATGAATATCAAAGTTTTAATCATATCACAGTGAATTATCACTGTTATGATAATTCATTGTGATATGTAATACTAATGTATGATTAAAGTATATCTACAAAAATATCAATATTTCAGCAATATAACAATTCAAAACTTGATTTTCAAAATTTTTAAATGCCAAATTTGCAATATAATAAATTTTACTATCAAAATTATTTTCTTAATTCTGTTAATTCAGTAATTAAAATATCTATGAAAGTATTAATATAACAATTATTATTTAGTTTATTCATTTATTTTCATCAAAGTGATCCTTCTGAATCATCTGTAGATTTTCCTGATATATTTTTCTTACTGAATGTCTTTGTATCTCTAAATATTATAACTCACAGTAAATTATACTAATCAATAAATATAAATATTGGTCCAAATTCTGCAAAGCAGTTAAGATAGCATCAATGTAATGAATGTAAAATAGAGATTTTTAACAAAATGAATTTTTAAAAATATTTTCACTGTAAATGATGACAAAGACAATTGGTTTGGATACCTTTAATTTAACAGCAGATCTGATTTTCAAATAAAGACATCAAAGCTACAAATTCATACTAGTGACTCCTGAAAACCCATACAATTTAACAATAAGTAAAAATCTTAACCAATGCATTTTGCTGTTACAGCCTCATCGGTGGATCCACCAATGAGGCTGTAACGGCGAAATGAATTTGGAGAACCTTTTGGAAAATTCTTTGAGAAATTGGAAAATAATAAAAGAAATAACGTTGGCTGAAGTATAGTATCTTTGTTAATTATTTGTCTGCCGATATAAATCACTCGAAATTGGTTTAAGAAAGAGTGTTTTATATTTACTCGTTTATTTTATCTAAAGATAATCATTTATTTTTAGAAATTTCACCGATCCCATTGTTTTATATTTTTACTGATCAACAATTATAATATATCTCAACGTTTTACAGAGTTCTAACAGCAGATGGAGATCTTCAATCAAATTTTCAGTTCAGGCCAGTAAATCAAATTACAGACATGCCTTGCCAAAGGTAGGATTACATTGCAAAAAAGGCATGGTTAGTAAAACCAAAGGTGCCAAAATAAAGTCTCCACGAACCAGGAATTAGGAAATTTATTGGTAATCAAAATATTACAGGATAAAATTTTTTCATAAACTGTTCATTGACTCAATTCTTGGAAGAAATTGCTTTATTTAGAAATTGTTTTATAAACTGAAGTTAAGAAAATCACAAATTATTAAATTATTTGCAACCAAATATAAAGAAAAATTATGCAAAATTTAATTTTTCTTGGGCATTTATCATAATTTTAAAAAATAATCTGTAAACTTTTAAACATGTATAGTATTTAAAAGTCAATTTGAAAGCAGATAAGGGTTATGAGACAATATGGGTTATCTACTGACTTTATTATATATACATCAACCTGATTCAATAATTAGACTTGTTATAGCCCAATGAATAATCCTGCAATTAATCTAGCTTACTTTAATTTGCAATTAAAATTCATCAAAAAGCTTTCCTTTTATGTAAATCAGGCTTCCTAACAGTCAGTATTGAGTCTTAGGAGTTAATAAAAATTTGAAAAGGAATTGATAAAACTTTGTAAATATAAAAAATTATTACAAAATATTAAAACTTTACACATTTTTTTCACTTAGAAAGATGCTTTCTAAAAATTATGTAGGAGGACTGTTGCATATATATTTATAATAAGGATCAATGGGAAAAAAATCTTTCTTAAAACGGGTTGTTACTTGAAAAGGATTGGAAACCTCTGGTCTAAACTTTCCAAAAGCAAATATTTTTTCCTTGATAAATTCTTGAAAAATTAGTAACTTCAGAGATACTTTCAAAATTAAATTATATTTCTGATTTACTTCATTAAATATTCATCATATATATCAATTAAAATTACATCTCCTATAAAATTTACATTATAACATTTGACTTGATTTACATTAAATTTCATTTTCAATGTTATTTTTTACAGTACAGCGGAAATTCTCAAATTTTTAAAAAATAATTTAAAATTTAATTGCACTTATAGCATCTTAATGTAAAACATTTTACTTTATTTTATAAAAAGTATTGATATCAATTTAAAAATTTTTAAATATAAATTGAGTTTATAAAAATTAAATATAAAATTTTTTATATCTACAATATTTTCAATTTTGATAATATAAATATTGTATTTAAACTTTAAAAATATGTTTAAAGAGGAGGTGTTGTTTAGCAATGAACAATTACTACAAAAGTTTATTACTACTGTTAAACTTTTGTAGGAATTGTTTTTTTTGTGATCAATGAATAATATCTCCTTCTTAGAATAACAATTTTTTATAAGTGGATTGAAGATTAACCCAAGTTCACTTCCCTACACTAAACCCAAAGACTTAACTGGACATCAAATTACACCAATTAGTAAGTGTCAATGATCTCCAAGTTAACTTCTTGTTCTTGTTCTACAGTTAAGAAGGGCTATCCTTTTAGCTAGGACTTTACCCTGTAAGAATATGAAAGAAGAGTTTAGGAGAGTTGATGATTAGGAGGAAGAGGAAATAAAGATAGATAGGACAGTGTGAAATAAGAATCTCCAAGTTAACTAAATTTTAAAACAGCCAGACTAAGAATTTTTCTCCATTAATTGGAGCCTCATCCACAAATTTCTCGGGAATTCTTTCATTTTGAGGACTAGTCTGAGCAGATTATTTCTAGTTTAACAGACATGGTT